TATGGAAAAGACTGTGGCAAGAGAAGAAAATATAACTGGAAATTCTCTAACTTTGTGAAGCCATAATAAAGGAATAAAAAATATACACATATTTTTCAGGGTAGTAGGTTTTGCCTCTCCTACCCTTGTCAATATCGGATTTTTATTTGTTCTTTTAAACACATTGCAGATATTTGATTTACAGGTGGTAAGTCAGCTCTGTTTTTCATTTTAACCACAATTTTTATCTATGACCCAATTTTAAGAAAATTTCTGAAGGAATCTCATTGTTCTATAGGCTTACAAATACTTTAATTAATGGCCATGTATCTCACTGACACTATTAGAAAATACAAATGGTAATTTTAATAAAAAGAAATAATTCAACATTATCACATCTTAGTGAAATATCATGATTCATTGATTTTATTTTATTAACATATTCAACTGATTTTTAATCAAATTGGTAAGTCTTACAGCATTCTGATGAGACAATTAGATAGACAATAACAATCACTGTTATATAGTCATTTCATATAATAATAAAGTACATAGATTTTATTTCCATTTTTTTCTTTTCTCATAATTTTTCCTTTCCCTTCTTTCCTTTTCCTTAGGGAAGGGTGGAGGGAGTGAAGGGTGCACAGGTAGTGGGGAAACAAATAATAACCAAGATGCATCCTGTACAGGTACGAGCATCTAATGATAAATGTAAATGTATTGTATACCTAAAATGTACCAATAAAAGAATGTAAGGAAGAAAATTGAACAAATCAGACAAAAAATAATAATAAAGTACAAATGTGAAGAGCTAATGCGTAAAGGTTTTACAAATTATTTAACTAAAGTAAAAACTTTGCAATAAAAATGTGTTTTATGGACAAAATTCTTTAGAAGCACATGCACTTCTTTTGCATGATGTTAAGAAATGATTAGCTAAATTTTATGAATGCCTTACATTCAGTTACCTAATTAAAATAATAAAGTCTAACCTCTGTTATCAAATTGATACAAATCAATAATTTGAATAGAAGCCAGAAAAGTGTAGGTAGATTGGTGAATAAATAACAAAAAATGGACTGTTATATTCACCAGTAAAAATGAAGGAATTTCTGTTAAATGATAGACAAACATCGGAAGTCTTATGCTCAGTTAAACAAAGCAATCACATACACAAGCATACCAAAACACACATGCACACAGACACACACACAGTACTGCATGATTCCATTTACACAAAATTCTTAGCAAAGTCAAATTCTTAGAGAAAGAAAGCAGAATAGCGGTTGCCTTGCAGGGGGAGGGAGATGAAAATCTCAACATTGGACATGGTGGATGGATGCAGATCAGTGTGCCTGGGCTTATGGGCTCTGCCCTGAGCACATGCTCAATGATTGCTAGAGCAGCACACATGAAGTTCAGAACCTTCCTCACATGCTCACATGTGTGGCTTCACAATAGACCTAAAGTTCACCCAATCTTCAAATGTAGGAGGCTGGAGTCATGGAGAGGACCGGGTTAGGAGAGCTCTGAGGTCTTTCTGGAAAGTGAGTCAGGATTCTGTGCAGTTGGGTGGCATGGGGAGGCCCTGTAAGGCAGGGTGTGCAAAGCACACTGTATGGAAATGCAGAATACATTCAAGGAAGGAAGCGTGCTTCCATAATGCTGAATGTGAAGCAAGTAACTGAAATCCTAAGAACTGTGCTGCAGGTAAAATTATGTTGCTCAAGTGATGTAGCTAGGGATCGTGTGCTCCTACTGCAATACATTTCCCTTCATAATCTGCATTTAATTTTGGGATAGATGTGTCAGTGCAGATAAAGGGAATGCCTCTGATGCCATCTTGGTTAAACTAGACCATGTCACAGTGCACGAATTTGTTCCGATGTCTCTGGAGGTGTGGGGACATTATTCAACAGCTAGCATAGATCTGGCATCAGCAGATCTGACATGATGATACCCTTCACAGTATAGCTTCTTATGGGACTGGAAAATAAACTAACCCAATTTCATGGTATAACAAACAAGTTAGATGTATTGTCCTTGCCTAGTTAAAGTTGTATATATATGGAGACAGTTCTGATTACAGCAAAGCATCTTACTGCTCTTAGTGAATGTGTGCAGCTAGCATTATCACCTTATATTCAGGGAGATCTAAGAAAATCAGTATTATTTTCAGTGTGTGATTCTGCAAAGCCAAACTAAATTTATAAACATCTCTAGATTTAGTTATATTTCCATGTGAAGACTCAGTGTCTCCTCCTAATAGACCTGATTAGTTGTTTTGCATGGTACATAAGAAAGTCATCCTGCTTAATCAATGAACGCCAGGGAAAATATGAACTTACTAGGTCTCAATTTTACTGTATTATAGGCACATAACTTCATAAGCAAGGATCTAGCTTTGTTTGTCACCATTGGTTTTATTGAAACTATTATTTACAATTGTAAAAAAAAATGGAGCTTGGACAGCAAAATCTTAGCAGCACAGAGGTTAAGCAAATTGAAAATATCAATGCACAAACATTACAGTCTTAAAGCATATGTGTTGCACATAAAATACAGCACAGAACCAAGAGTTGCACTGTGCTGATTAATGCTTATCAGAAGAAGTGATTAAACTCACTCTCCCCAGAAGCAGGGGCAGAGCTCATTCTGGCAGCAATCTCTACACAGCCAGAGAGTTATCTTCTTCTGCTATTCATATCTCTGTCAGCACTTACAATGTGAACATTGATTCACGAGGAAACCAGTATTTTGATTTCACCAGTGAAAGGTACATTTAGAAGTTAGTTTCTTTTAAGAAGCAATATTTACTTAAAATCCTAAAGGACGAAGATCATCTAGGTTAGGAGTGTTCAAATATTTAAACAGTAAAATCAGACATAAAGCTGCTGTAATAGTGACAGGCTTTGGATTTAGTTGATCCAGTTGACATTTTATATAAAACTACAAATAACTTCTTGTTCATAACAACTGCAGTTGTCAATATATTTTTCTTTTCAATATAAAATTACACTTTAAGATGATCTACACATACAAATTGTCTTTTTAAACTGTCATATGAATGTAAATGCTTTGTTTAAAACAATGTATACAATGAAGCACTACTCTGCCATAACGAAATATAACCTTGAGTCATTTGTAGGGAAATGGATGCATATTTGGACCACAATGTTAATTGAAGTCCTCAGGCATACAAGTTTCAAAATCACATGGTTTCTCTCATATGAAAAACTTAATGTACATATAAGGTACTAGATAAAAAGATGTTTTGTAGACAGACTAATAAATATTTGTCAGTTTGTTTCAGGGCAAAAAAAGAAAGCTAACAAAAGGTTAAGTTAGATACATAAAATAAATTACATTTAAAAACTTGCAAAGATAAATTTCCACTGTCTGATGTCCTTTCTGGTTTACTTTTTCAGAATGCTTTAGTTTGCAATCTAGGGGTCTTTTATTTTTTAATTAGGTTAATCCCTAACTAAGTATTTAATTTTTCTTGGTGCTATTTGAATGGTATATTTTTACAAATTCACTTCTCTGTGTTCATTGTTAGTGTACAGGAATGCTGTTGATTTTTCTGTGTTGATTTTCTATCCTGCAACATTTCTGAATTTGCACTCTGCCACAAAGAATGATAAATTTGAGTCATTTGTAGAAAAATGGATGCACTTTGAGACCATAATGTTAAGTACAATATATCAGATGCACAAACTTAAATATCACATGGCTTCTGTTATATAAGAAACCCAAAGTAGAAATAAAGAGCAAAATAAAAAATGGATAATAGAAAGTAAGTAGATAGAACTTTCTCAAAAGCAAAGAGGATCAAGAGATGTAGAGAGGGGAAGGCAGGGAAGGGAAAAGGATGCAAATAAGAATGAAAATGTGTTATATACATGTACCCATTCCCCACAAGAGATGTATACGTTATATACCAGAAATGTTCTAAGGAAGTATAAACACTTTTAAAAAACCTGCATAGAAAAGGAGCATCATATTTTCTTGTCATTTAATTTTTATCACCGCCAAACATGCCTCAGAGAATCTTATTTTCCTACTTGGTTAGAGTTTAATGTTTTAACTACTCTGCCCTAAAGACATTTATGACTTCAAATTACTTTACACACTTTGTTGAAACATGAATTCTACTATTTTGTAAATTAAACATCCAGTAATGCAATGCTTTACAAAGGAAATAAATGTGAATGTTCAAGATTTTTCATTTTTAATGTTGGATTAGTTGCTTTTTATGATAGCTTAGCACACATTGTAGAATATGTTAATTTTTCTTTTGATGAGTTAACTGAAAATAAGATGCAATTGAGAAAACTTACCATTGACATGTGAGTGAGCTATGTGGAATAAACTAAAACATTGGTAACACACCAGAACACATTCTGGTTTAGCAGAATGATAAGCAGAGATTTTAGAATGAAACTTACAACAGCAGTGCGGTTACTCATTTGTCTTATAAAATATTTGTAAATACAATATAGACTTTAAGGAAAGAAATGAAAAGAAATCAACTTGCAGGTTGAACACTACAAAATAAAAACAATCTAAAAAAGAAAACCTTATTTTCTGTTTGAGAAGTCCTGTCTAATATATTTTAAAAAACAGATTTAATTCAAGTTCTAAGGACAATGACTTTATTATATGAGGCCAGCACAAATGTAAAAAATGAAATAAGTAAATAATTTCTTTCTCTTTCAATTATATTGGTATCACAGAGGGCAGAAATGACACTTAAATGCAACCTGCATTTCAACACAAATTTGTATTCATTATAGTAATTAACATTTTAGGTGAGAAGTATATACTGTGAAAAGATTAGAAAATAAACAAAGTTAAAGCTAGTAGATATAAAACATTTTGAAAAAATCAGAGGAAACATTTGAAGCAGCTTTCATCATGTTTGCACAAAAACTTTTTTGAGGTTATGTATAATAAAGCCAATTTTCCTCATGAAGCATTGCAATGCTGAGATATCTCTCATGACTTTTCCACTGTCAGTGTCAATTCTCTTTGAAATCATGGATCATGGGAACATCACATCAGATTTCATTCTCCTAGGCCTCTTCGACCACACTGCAGCCCACCAGATTCTCTTTGGGGTTGTCCTAGCAGTTATGATCTCCTCCCTCACAGGCAATGGCCTCATGATTCTCCTGATTCACCAAGACCCTCAGCTGCACAAGCCCATGTACTTCCTGCTGAGCCAGCTGTCCCTCATGGACATGATGCTAGTCTGCACCATTGTGCCCAAGATGGTGGCTGCCTACTTGACTGGAAACAAGTCCATCTCCCCAGTGGGCTGTGGGCTGCAGATCTTCTTCCTTCTTACTCTGGGAGGTGGAGAGTGCTTCCTCCTAGCAGCCATGTCCTATGACCGCTATGTGGCTGTGTGCCACCCGCTGCGATATGCCACTTTCATGAGCTGGCCATTGTGTCTGAGAATGGTTTTGGGGTCCTGGCTCCTGGGGGCAGCTGATGGAGTCATGCAGGCTGCTGTTACGCTGAGCTTCCCCTTCTGTAACAGACATGAGATTGATCATTTCTTCTGTGAGGCCCCCACACTGGTGCACTTGGCCTGCAGTGACAGCTCTGCCTTTGAGTATGCCATGTACATCTGCTGTGTGCTGATGCTCCTCATCCCCTTGTCCCTTATCCTGATGTCCTACAGCCTCATCCTCACTGCTGTCCTGCATATGCACTGCACAGAAGCCAGCAAGAAGGCCTTTGCCACCTGCTCCTCCCATTTGGCTGTGGTGGGACTCTTTTATGGTGCTGCCATTTTTATCTACATGAGACCCACATCCTACAAGTCAGCCAAACATGATAAGGTGGTGTCTGCATTCTACACTATCTTCACCCCTATGCTGAACCCCTTGATCTACAGTCTGAGGAACAATGAGGTCAAGGGAGCCCTGAGGAAATGTCTGAGCCACTGCACTGCCTTAAGAAGTGACTGACAGTGTTCATTTTCTCCAACCTTAAAGGCTTCCCAAAGCATGTGTTTGAGATTTACTACAGGGAAGCTTTTATAAGTATATCTCTTTTTTCTATTTCACTTCAAATTGTAAATGAATTTTCATACTTTGGGAGTATTTACTGTGCTTTCATTACCAAGTCAACTTGTGTATTTATAAAAATCTGTAAATCACAAATCCTTGTAAAACTTTCTGCGTCACTCCTACAATACCTTTCTATTCAAAGAATGAGACACTGCTGCAGTTTGAGACTTAACTGTTGTTATCTGTTGGAAATCAAGACAGAATTTGCACTCAATGCTTAGATCTGTGCGTTTCTCTTTAACCAGTTTTTTTTTTTTCTTTTGGTACTGGGGATTGAACTCAGGTCCTTGTGCTTGCATAGCTGGCAGTGAAACTACTGAGCTAAATCCCTGGCCCTCCTTAACCAGTTTTAACAAGTATCTGCCATTGGAATTTACAAATATTATCAAGGTATAACCTCTACCTCCTCAGAAATGCCCCTTGTGTCCTTTGGCATTGAAAGTCCACACACAGGACATAATCACTGACCTCATTTCCATCCCCATTATTTAGTTTGACTTACTTTAAAACTGTATAGTAAGGTAAGCTGAAATTAGACCATTTTAGTACCTTGACTTTTATTCTGTAAGTGTAATATATTTTAAAATCCTTCCTATGCTTTCACACTCCTCAGGAGTGTGTTTTTTCCTTTCCTGGCTAGTATTCATAGCATGAATACATTTTGATTTCTTAGTTTTGCTGAGGGACATCTTTGCTCTGTTCACTAGGAACCATCAGCAATATGGCTGCTGGCCGCCTTGTTGTGTGATCTTTGTCTTCTCTTGGTACATGCTCGATTGTAGGGGACAGGGGAAGGGGACGTTACCAGAACCTCTGCAGTGAGTCCTGGTCT